ACGTCTTTTGGCGAATGATGGTACTTTTAAAAAGAGACAAACCAGAGGGAGGAGTAAGCCCCTCAGGATGCCACATAAAAGACAGTTTGTGGTGGGACCTGAAACTTGTGGAGATTGAGTCTGGAGAGCAACTTGGACAGACTCACCGTTGGTGGGTTGGTCTCTGCCAGGTGCACCCCAATATCTCATATGGAGAAGTTAATGAAAGAGGTCAAAATTGGTCTTAATTACGAATCTTAGATATTAAAAAAAAAGCGCCAGGTTACAAAATATTACCTTGTAGCAGTGCTGACTGGATGCCAAGAAATACATAATTCCTCTTTTTTGAGATTTATTGGCTTCATTCAACTGAAGAGTCTCTCCCAGACTGGCTTTCGTCTTCTGGCTTAAAGAAGAAGGTGGCAGGGAAATGTTTTCTGAGATGTGCCGCTTGGGCAGTACCTGTCATGCTGTAAGAAGCAATAGTTCTCAAGTAACTTTTACGTGAGCGCAGCTCTGAGCCAAGCCACGTTTGCATTTGCAGAGCTCCTTTTGCAGGTCCAGCGCTTGCTGGTGGAGATCTTGGTTGTCACCGCTTTCTTCTGCTTCTCCCTCACCTCCGATGAAGGATATCTGTTCGTCTGTGCCTGCTGGCCATGCCAAAGCCTCTCTGTCATTGCCTTTGTAGCCAACATGAGTTTTGTGTGTTGCATTCAACTGGTGGCCAAGGTGCGCTTTTGTAGCCAACATGAGTTTGGTGTGTTGCATTCAACTGGTGGCCAAGGTGGGACGTTCACTGCTGGAGCTCAGCAAGTGGTTGGACATGAAGATGATCAAAGCAAAGGTGAAGCTTCTCACCTACTTTAACCAGAGGTAAATGGTGATAAATCACTGCTGTCACCTGTCCTGCTGTGGGCTTCTCCATCATACTTCCATTTTTGGTGCTTAGTCGTCCTTCCTTATTTTGGAGGTGGCACTGTTTTTTTTCCAGCGGATTCACATGTCTGGTGGCTTGTGCTAGGAAAAGGGTTTTATCGCACATCCGTGGAAGTCTAAAGGTGCGAGACTGGCACGTTGACAGCCCCATGCATGGATCCTGCCGGCTCACTGCCCACGGGAGTGTCACGGTGGCTTTGCCAAGAGGCGTGGAGGGCACGCAGCCGTGACTTAGCAAGTCCTGGGTGAGCTGTGCAGGCTGTCCCCACCCAGGATGAGTCACTGGGAACACTGGCTCAGTGTGCTGGCTCCCTGGGAGAGGTTCTGCTTGGTTCACGGCCGGTATCTCTGAATTAACTGCATGGTAGCTGGAGTGTTGGAGGTTCCTCTTGCTGTCCTGCTGGCTGAAGCCCAGGAGAGCAGCGGAGCTGACCAGGAGATGGATTAAGATGAAAAAATAGAAACATGGCTGGAAATGAGCTCACCAGTCCTCTGCTGCTGGAAGTGTTGGAAGGTTGTGGTTTGCACCAAAATGTTGCATGCTTGAGTTGACTGAGGTTTTAGGAATTAGGATGTACATGCCTGGCAGTGGAGGAAAGTAGGGGTGTGGTGTTGCAGTATGTTTGTATTTTTTTTTTTTAAAGTGTAAGAGTCGTATATGGCAACCATTTAGCCTCTGTTCTCATCTCTCACTGGTATAAGTTTGACCTGTATACCTTAAATTGAAAAGCATTTTTATGCTGTTTCCTGATGTCAAGAGAACTGCAAGGTGTAAATTTATTGTTCTGCTCCTATATAGGATTTTGTGCGCCTGCATTCAGCTGTGATTCATGGAAGCCGAGCAGGGTCTGGGAAGTTGAATTTGATCTTATTTAAAACCCCATTCAATTACATCTGTACAGCTCACCCCAAGCTCTGGTATTTTGGGAGCTTATTGGGACATATGGAGCAGGTACCACGTTGTGCACCCGTGGTGGGAAGGAGTGGGTGTTTTCATGTAGCCATAGTGACTTGTGCAAGTTTTTCTTGTGTGAATGATTTATTTTTCAAGCAGAAAAAGGCATTTGGATGAGTCTTGCGCTCTGTGCAAGTCTCAGAAGCTTCATGAGGCGATGCACCCTCAATTTCCCCATGCAAAGTGCCGTGCCCTGGAGGTATCTGGTGCTCTGTGCTAATTCCAGTGGCGTCAGAGCTCCTGTCACTGCTGGAGAATCATTTGCAGCAGCCCCTTGGTGCCAAGATAATGCTTCCCACTCCTGCAAAGCGTTTTCCTACATGTAGATAAAAAGTCTGGTGTGTTTTTGCTTGAATGTTGTTATTCTGGTGCTGGTATGCCTGTGTCCTTTTGTAAGCAAATTTAACATGTGCTTGCAGAGAGCGAGGCTGCCTGAGCCTTCTGTTAATGAGCGAGTCCTTAAAATGACTTTGTTTTGCAAAAAGCTTCAGGAGCTGAACAAACTGTACTTAGTGATATCCACCAGGAATTGCTTTTAAACTTTTTATTCTCTTTTTCTTACCCCTTGGTCCCAGAAGGGACTACACCTTGGAGCAGTGACTTACAATTTGGCAGGATTTGGGGAGGAGTAAGTGGTATGAGTCTGATGTCAGAGCCAAGCTTTGTATTATTGTTGTCAGAATTTTAACCAGGTGTGAAAATACTGATGTTCATATAGTCGTGTCCAGAATAAATCCAACATCCTTAATGTAGGTGGTGACAAGGTGAAGGAGCTGAAGACATGTGAAGATGGAAGATTGTTGCGTGATGTGAACGAACTATTAACAAGAAAAATGGAATAACTTACAAAAGTTTTTCTTCTCTGCTGCAACAGGGATGAGAAGAACCAGTCCATCATCGTGAGCGGGGAGTCAGGTGCTGGAAAGACGGTCTCTGCCAAATACGCCATGCGCTTCTTTGCAACCGTCAGTGGTTCTGCCAGTGACACCAACATCGAAGCCAAAGTCCTCGCGTCGAGCCCGATTATGGAGGTAAAAGCTGCATCATTTCCTTTGTCCTGCTCGCAGTGATCTCTGTCTCTTTCCAGAAGTCACAAAAACAGTGAGAGCCACAGGGGCTTGTGAGCCAGACCTGATTTGCAGCCTCACAGCAGCCTTGTGCTGGACTGAAATTGCAGAAGTACACCAATAGCCTCCATTTAGCCCACCTTGATTGCTCCTTTATTTGATGGTCTTGAAGCTGAGCCCTTGCATCCCCAGCATGGCACCAGGAGCTGGGCTTGATGGGACTGGTGAAAGTAAATGTCCAAGTGCCTAAATCCCATTTTCTAAACAGATTTTGGAGTCTGAGTACCTTAATTTGCAAAATATTCAAGTCGGCACAAAGACAAGACTTGGGCTTTTCCAAAGTCTATTAACCACTTCAGGCTCGTGTGACTTTTTTTTAAAGCCAGGAGCTAGCAGTGCTGCTGTGATGGAGTGCAGCCTTGTCCTGCACTTCACCTTAGGCTTGGCTTAACCTGCAGTGCCAAATTGTCTAATAGACACAGAGGTGGTGGCTGATCCAGGATGAAAACTAAGCCCACCCCAGCTCGGGAGGCAGCCACAGGTGATGCGGGGTGCAAGCTGTAAGGGTAAAACAAGTGATGCTGCAGCTGAGCAGCAAGCAAAGCCACGCAGGTGTACAGCTGGCAGAGAACACTCGATGATCTGCCACAACATGGGCTTCACACTGTTTTACTCTTTTCCTCGCCCATCTCCTGTGCCTCCATGAAATGTAGCTGCAGTACCTGGGAACACTTAAAAGCATCCAAGGAAAAATTCGTAGTGCACATTGTTCTTCTATATGACCCCATACTTTTGTTGCTCTAATTTTCTTGCTGTGTTCAGTTCTGGGTGTAATCTCTTAGTGCTGGGGCCAGGGAACCTGTCTGTTTTTTATTGGAAAGAGCTGAGAACATTGCCCAGACAAAAACCATAAAAGAGAACTGCCTGGTTTGCAAAAAAACCCCAAAGTTCATTGTTTCATACAGGCAATTGGAAATGCTAAAACAACAAGGAACGACAACAGCAGTCGCTTTGGGAAATACGTTCAGATTGGTTTTGATAAAAGATACCACATCATTGGTGCCAACATGAGGACGTATCTCTTGGAAAAATCACGAGTTGTATTCCAGGTGAGGAGTTGTGCTTTTTTTCTTTTTTTCTTTTTTTTTCTTTTTTTTTCTGCCCTTTGGGTGCTGTAATCCAGGGACCACTGCTCCTGGCCTGGCTGTGGGGCAGGGGTGGAAAGCCTTTTTCTGCGCAGCTGCTGAGTTTTCTACTGAACCTCATAAAAAGCCAGGAACAATTAATTGCAAACAACGTTCTTTTTGTTTTGAAGATGGAGGAGAGGCAGGAGAAGGGCTGAGGAGGCTGATCTCTGCTGCAGCACATCCCATGGGTTTCTTGTGCAGGGCTCAAGACAAGCTGTCTTGGTTTGTGCTTGAGATCTAGCTCAGAAGCACCTGCAAAACTTCTGTCCTTACCCAAAAAAAAAAAAAAAAATCCTAAACCCAAACAACCTTGGGAAGCCACGAGTGTAGGCCACCTCTTTCAACATTGCTGGCAGTTTGCAGCGCAGCGTTTGTTAGCTAACTTAGCTTAGGGATAAGGCATGGAGGGTAATAAAAAGTTATTTATTTCCTTTGCGAGATGGCAGTGTACTTTGTGCATGGCTTGGCACCTCCTTTTTCCCAGATGGTGCAAGGTCCCTGTCTTCTTGGTGGCACTGAGCTCTTGATAGTGGGAAACAAGGAGGATGGGGTCAAGGTGGCCCCAGGCTCAGCAGGCACGGGGCTGAGAGTGGGAGCTCTGCTGTAACCTCTTCTCGCCTCTGTTAACTCAGCATTTTCCTCCGTAGGCAGAGAACGAGCGCAACTACCACATCTTCTATCAGCTTTGTGCCTCGGCGAGTCTTCCAGAATTCAAAGAGCTTGGACTCAGTAAGTACCTCTACCTCCCTGTGTGCCACTGCCTGGTTTTGATGGCAATAGGGAAAACATTACGGGGTTAGAAACACGGCTCATCTTGGCAGGAGCAGTTGTGTCCTTTGAATCCATTTTATTTTTTCAATGGTTGACTCCTGGGATGTATCCTAAGTTGTTTTTTTCCCGCCAGGATTTGCAGCAAAACATTGGTAAGACACCTGAATAAGAGGTTCTACACTTGTAGCAGGAGATGCAGGGATGTGGTGTGATTAATCGAATGTTTTCAAACACATTCTGCCATGGGGTTACATACTTCATTTTTGCAAAGACACCTGGAGTAATGGTGTTGTCTGCTGGCATCTTAAAACTCAGAAATAAATTATTTCAACTCAGTCTGAGAGATGAGTTGCTGTGGGAGAGCTCCAGCTGTGAAACCAACTTTCTCATCTTGGGAACATGTGGATCAGAGGAAATATCGATCTTTGTTCAACACAGCTTTCTAAAAGCATCGTCTGTATTTGTGGTGACTGGCGATACTGAAGGCTGAGAGCTCCTTGCTCTCCTGGTGCATCATCCAGGACATCTTTGTGCTGTTGTGACTGTGGCTCTTGACTTCAGTATCTCAAGGGAGAATGTGTAATGGCAACAGCTGGTGGTGCAGGAGGCGGTGGGTGCCAGGGCTGTTAGGATATGCAAGGAGGGGAAGACTTCTTGGGTCATTTATAATCAAAATTTTACGTTGTCAGTGCATGTCGGTCTCCAGCTGCACTTTTCCGTGCATTTGCTGTATCACAGGGTGTGCAAGTATCTGCACAAGCTGATGCGTGTGCATTCGCATAAAATGCAACAATGGAAAGAGAAACGATTCTCTCCAAAAATCAAAGGTCTTCTCCTCTTTGGGGATTTCTTGCACCGAGGAGTATCTTGATGTAAAAATCCACCTTTTATTAGCCAGAGAGCAGAATGTTTATTTTTCCATATCAAAAGTAGGAGCTGTTGCTTCTCCTTTGCGTCTGCACATCATTGTTGTTCTCTTTTATATTGCAAAATGCTGGAAAACAAAGAGAGTTTCTAAACTTCCCTGAGCCCAGCAGAGCAAACCAGTAAGTGTTGGCTCTTCAGGCAGAGCAATCCTAAAAGTTTGATTTTTAAACCACAAAGTAAATATATGACTTAAAATGTGGGAGTTCACGTGCCCCGGATGCGTCTTGCAGGGCGACGTGCAGCAGCATCAAGCTGTGAATGGGTTTTGCTCCATCATGGGCTGGGTGAGCTTCCGTTATACTGGGGGGACTGGAACAGACATCAGCTCTCTGACCTCCATCAGCATTTTCTGCCCCTTCTTCCTGATGCTCTGGCAACAAGCAGAGCTACTGAAACCTCCAGGTCCCAGGGCTTTGCATGCCAAAAAGAATTCAATGTTTTTCTTCCATCCTGAAGGTGCAGCAAATGCAAAAGCCTGCAGGAGTGCTGGGAAGGGCTGGGGACCTTCAGGTGGCACCGGGAGTCAAAAAAAAGTGCAGACTGCAGTGATTTTAAAGGTTACCAGCAGGCTGGTGTGGAACACATAGTAGGCTGTTTTTCTCATGATTTTCATGATACTTGGGAAATATATTTGTGCTTCTTAGTGATCTTTCTGAGCTTTTCTTGGTGAGTCCCTCCTGCTCTTCGAAACCAGTTGAAGCTGATGGTGAGAACAGATTCTGGGTGGGATGGGGAGGCTGGCCAGCTCTCCCGGGGGCCAAGCCTGCTCTGGCTCTGCCAGGACACACCCTGGCAGCCCTGGGCACATATTTTAATGGCTTTGGCCTCTAATAAGCCCTTGTTTTAGGAAGGGGTGATTGCACAGGAAGCTTTTTAAAGTGGTTATAAATCCTGTGATCTCTTCTTGTTGTTTCTGCGTTTGAAATGCCTCTTGATCTCTGTAGGATTTAGCTTTGCATTGTCCTGAAATAACTGGATGTAATGCTGGCACTGTGAGCGATTCTCTATTCCCTTTGCTCCCCAGGTTTAAGGCATTGTGTGGAAAAGGTGTTAAATTATCTGAATCGGTCATGGGTATGTAAAACAGGATTGAAAAAAATGGAAAGTAGTATATCTCAGCTGTTGAAATAGTCTGCAGTCATGCAATGCAGCAGTTATTTGTATCTCAAACATCATAGCTCTGCCCTGGTTGAACTTGCTTTGCATGGGGAAGGGGTTTCATCGCTGCAAGAAATAGTTACAGTCACTTATCGAGGTTAAACTTCATCCATTTCTAAGTAAAAAGCAGTTTAAGGAAGGTGGGTGCCCTGTGGCGACAGGGGACAGGGAACATCCCAGTGCACGCGCCGGAAGGCTACTGCTCGCTGATGCATTTCTTCTGTTTCTTCTCTCCTAGCATGTGCCGAAGACTTTTTCTACGCTTCTCAGGGAGGTGACACGTTCATTGATGGCGTGGACGATGCTGATGACTTTGAGAAAACCAGACATGCCTTCACCCTGCTCGGTAAGGGGTTGGTCTGCTTGGAGGCTTCCCAGCAGAAGTCTCTTGCAAATATTTGTCAGTATTTTGCCTGAGTTACATGGCTGTCCTGTAACACTGAGAGGTATAAATCCCATCTTCCTATTGACCTAGTTGGCTTTACTTTGTTCTTTAGTATGAGCCGCAGAAGGGTTTCTTAACAGCTTTCTGCGAAGCAGCAGTGAAATGCAGGAGAACATTAAACTTGAGAGAAACCTAAATAAACCATGCTGGAGTCAGAGCAGTGCTGCAGCTTCGACTTGGTATTCTTTACCTTATTTACAGGCAGGAGAAGAGCTCTTACTCTACAGTTCAATCTGTATTTGGGTTGAGGGTGATGTCACTTCTCGGACCATCACAGTATTGTACCCAGTAGCTGATTCCTGGGAATAATGAGCTAAGTACATCCCTCCTGTGCAGAGTCCGTGTTTGCATGGTCAGCTGCAAAATCTACCGCTGCGACAAACCCCCGTGCACGCTGTGGTTACACAGTGCCGTAGCCGGCCTGCGGCGATGACTGTTTGAAAGGAAAAAACAACTTTTGCAGGGGAAAACTTGCCCAGAGTTTATTAATATTTGTCTGAAGCCATTTTTTTAAATCCCAGTAAGTTTTGGTGTCTCTCCATTGCATTTCATCTGTTTGGGAGAGGAGCTCGTGATGTTTGCAGCCAGCTGTGAAATCCCACCGAGCAGCTGTATTGCAGCTGGGCCAGCAGCGAGCGTGGGGACTCATTTCAAGTGTTATAACTGCAAGTGTTTCCCCAAATTTGTACTCTTTGTGTTTTAGATGCTCTCCTTCTCTTTTCCTTCGGGATAACAGGGGGATCTGTCCAAGCATCTTCCTCCACTGCCAATTTGATGGTGTTTTCCTGCTCTTCACATGATTCCACTGCCATTCCTCATTTTTTCCCTCAGTGTTTCCCAGCTCGGGCTGCTTCTATTCAGGGCCTGATGAAATTGGTATTACACCTTCTAGTTGTGTCTTTTTATGTGTAACAAGAAGTCAGATTTATCTGCAAATTCCCACACTAGCTAGGCTTAACGCCAGTTAAGAGTGCCAAGTAACAGCAGAGCGGTGCTCCTTTTAGTAACTGGGAAACATTTCTCACTGTGCTGATAACAGAAAAGTCCCGAGAGAAAGGGAAGCTCTTGATAATTTGAAAAACAGCAGGTGATGTCTCAGACCTTGGGTAGATAATTAGGACACCAGCACTGAGCACAAAAGGGGCACAGAAAACCCAGTTGGGATGTAAAAAACGCAAGAATTGGCAAGAAGGCTGCGTGCAGGCTGCTGCTGAGCAAAGCTCCTGCTGGGATTGCCCGCAAAATCCTGCAGGGAAAAAAATATAAAGCAACAACATCTTACACCCCCAGCGAAGACCCACAACACGTAGCTCCTGTTGAGACCCTGGGGACCGTAAGACAGCTTCGCATCACCTCCCTGGTGAGCACCAGTCCGGAGGCGTTGTGCATCGTGTGCATGGCTTTAATTTTCTCTTCCGTTCATGGGGCACTGGCAATAAATTGTAACTTCTGCGCTTCAGTTGTCAGTGAGATCTCACTGTGGGTCTACGCTTGCAGAGGAGCAACACGTTGTTCTGTAAAATCCACTGAGCCCCTCTAGCTCTGATCCTGTTTAATTATTACAGAGCAGCATCCGTGGTTTCGTGCACGTTCACAATAATATTAAACCCATTGGGGACAAGATTGCTTTGATGCAGTCGTAATATGAGGAGCTCCTCTCTCTGTCTCAGCTGTCGTTTTTGAGCGATGACTTTACTGGGAGTTTATGGTGAGTTTATTGGGAGAGGCCTGATAACTCTGAAAACCAACAGCCCAGGAAAGAAATCAAACACCGCGAGAGTTTTCAAATAAACTGAAAATTGCTTTTTTTTTTCCTTCCTATTGTGACAATCAGCTATCAATTATTCTCGTAGGAGTGAAGGAGTCTCATCAGATGACCATTTTTCGGATAATTGCTGCCATTCTGCACCTAGGGAATGTGGAAATCCAAGGAGAACGGGATGGCGATGCCTGTAGCGTGTCGGTAGGTCACCGGCAAGAGTGGGGCGTGTGGGGAGCTTTGTATGCTTATAAATCGGGTCACATTGGATGTTTTGAGCTTCACAGCAGTATTCTTTGGTAAAAAGTCCTGGTTGTCTTTGCTTTTTTCGAAAACACATCATAATTTCCTGGTTGCTTTGTTTTTACTGGGAGATTTCTCTCTAGCCAGCCTGTAAGTGAGATGATTCATAAGTCGCTTAACACCTTCCATCCCAACCCATCTTCAACTCTTCCTGCTTTCTTAAAAGACTTGATCCACGGAGTATTGGGGGAATGGTGACTCCGGTTGCTTTTTTTTTTACTGGGAGATTTCTCCTCTCTAGCCAGCCTGTAAGTGAGATGATTCATAAGTCGCTTAACACCTTCCATCCCAACCCATCTTCAACTCTTCCTGCTTTCTTAAAAGACTTGATCCACGGAGTATTGGGGGAATGGTGACTCCCACCAGCAGAAGGTGTGATGCTCTACAACGGCTTTGCTACACGAAGAAGCCATGAAGCTGCTGCTTGTAATGTGGCCATCCTGTATTCAAAGCGGCACTGCATGGTTAATTAACAAGAATAAATAAGACTAAAGTTGCCTTAATGGTGGTTTTTCGGTTTCTGTGTGTGTTTAAGGGGAAAAAAAAGTGATTATATAGAAAGTACTGTCCTGTCAATTATTATTGCATCCTAGCTGGGTCGTTTGCTCCTAAGTATTAAAATGGTTCTGCACACACTTTTAGTGGTACCCGTGAGATGATGTTCTGTGCAATTAGTTGGATGCTGGGGGTAATTTTCTTGATACTTGGCAACATGGATATGTAAAACTGCTCTGCTGCGACAACGTTGAGTTCTGTAATGGAGTTCATGGTGTTTAATTACCTTCAGATGTGCATGGTGTTAAATCAATCCTGTTGTGACTTCAAATCCATGGTCAAAAAGGTGTCGGAGCCAAAAAGCATCCTAGAGGTCTTTTAAAATGCATTTTTCTCTCCATCCCCAAACCCATCCAGCTTCTGTACATGCACATATCTAACTGGAAACAGTTGTATTATTACACTGAGGAAAGGAAAATTGATTTCTCATTGTCCAAAAGCCAGTGCTCACTATCTTAGCATAATAGAGACTCAGAACTGCCTTGTCTTAGTTTGAGGTGGGGGGAAAAAATACAATGCAGTAGAGAAAGTGAAGTTCACGTTTCATTTTATTGGTTATGCAAAACACGAGCCCTTCTGGTAGTGCACATTTTGCAACTTTGTTTTTCAAAATGAGGTTGGTTTGTAAAAAGCATGATGTAATGGCATGCCTTAAGCTTTAACCTGAGGCTTCATCGGGGTTGCTCTGAAGGAAGCATACTCCTTTAGCATTTCCCCAAATAGTTCTGAAATGCTGCTGATTTCCTGCACTGCTCTGGGAACCCGGTGTTAGAACTCCGGTTTTGATGTGTCACCAACCTGCTGACTTTGCTTCTCGTTACCCCCAGAGCGAGGACGAGCACTTGAACAACTTCTGCGACTTGCTGGGCGTGGAGCACAGCCAGATGCAGCACTGGCTTTGCCATCGCAAGCTCGTCACCACTTCCGAGACCTACGTGAAGAACATGTCCGTGCAGCAAGTGGTGAACGCCAGGAACGCCTTGGCCAAGCACATCTACGCCCAACTCTTCAACTGGATTGTGCAGCACATCAACAAGGCCCTGCACACCACCGTCAAGCAGCACTCCTTCATCGGCGTGCTCGATATCTACGGGTAGGCATGGCTTTCTGCTTATAAAGCCGTTAAATTAGTCCTTTCTGATTTGTCACACCCTTCTGGCCGTGCATGCTTGACCTTGGCTTGGGAATAATAGAAAGGGATGCAAAAAAGCGCAGTCGTGGTGTGTGGTTTGCAATTTTGTGCGACCCTGATGCTGAAACAGTGCGTGGAGATCTGCTGGAGGGCTGGTTTTTGGGATTTACCTCCCGTACTGCTCCCATCTGGGATTTCTCTGTAAAGCATCAAACTTAAAGATGAGGTGGGGGTAAAGGTGCAGATGCAGAGGCCAAAATCTGCGTTGTCTCTGCTTGAGGATGCTGTGGGGTTTGAGGAAACTGTTTTGCCTCTTCAGCTGTGAAAATGCTCCTCCTTGTGCAGCAGGAGTTTTTGGAGAACTTTGGGAACCTGTGTCAGCAGGGGTAAGGTGCAAAAAGCTCTGGCATAAGTGAGGGCAGGGCTTGCAGTCTGCAACATTTACATTTGGACTGGGAACCAGTTACTGTCCAGTCTGTGCTCCTGGCACTTGGGTGCTGGTGGAAAAGGGATTCAAGAGTCATGTGTGAAGAGTTCATTTTAGCTGAAGTGCTGCAAAGAAGCAGAAGATGGAGGAGAAAGGAGGGGGATTGTGTCAGCTGTGGGCTGGAAAAGCAAAGAGATATTCTGGGTTTGTGATGTTTTCCCCTCCCCTCTTTCAACACCATCCCTCATCTCTGTCTTTGGGCTTTTAATGGGATGGTTTGAGATGGTGAGGTTGCTGTCAGAGGTTGCAATGTCTGGGCTTTCCTGGGTATACAGCACAGGACCTGGAAGATCTTAAATTATCAGATGGGATTGGCACAGGCTGGTCTGAAGACAGTATGAGATGGAAAAGCTGTTTCCCATCAGTGTCCCCACAAATAGAGATTTCTGCAGGCTGGGTTATGATAAATGAAGCTTTGAGATGGAGCTTTGTGGGCAATATTGGGCAATGCAAAAAGTTGCGTGTCTGAGTTACCAAATCAGATGCAGTCTTTCAGAAATCTGAATAAAAGGAGATGTGAGGATAATGTTCATGAAACATTAAGCTGAGCTTGAAAACTTGTTAGTGTGGAAGAAAAACTTCCCTTAGCTGCAGGTCTCCTGTGCGTCACATCCAGCACGTGGGCTGGCTGATGCTTTTCCAGCACTGGTGTCACCGCAGAGTACAGCAGGTTGGTTTTTATCCACGGGGACCTGCAGATCCTATTGAAAGAGGCAGGTTTGGAGGGGATGGGAATCTGCATTCCAGACCATAACACTTGTGTGTGGGTCCAGCCTCCTAAAGAGAGTGTAAATCCCTTCCAGAAGTGGGATATTGCTGTCTAAATGCTCAATAATTAACAACACAGGGACTTCAGGGGTGGCAACCTGAGTTCCCCAGTCCTTTAAAGTGGTTTGGTTCCCTAAACTCAAATTATTTGGGAATTTTAATGCATTCTGATGAATATTGGATTTTTTTCCCTAAATTTCTGTTTTCCTTTTCCTCTGGGAGATGGGATTAAACTCGAAAGGCAGGGAGCCTGCATGCAGCCTCCACCGCACACCCCTAACATCCCGAAAGCACCTCTGTCCCAGGGCTCCTGGAGGAGAACTGTCCCCACGGGTGGGATTTCTAGGGACAGGGTCCACGCTGAGGGTGCAGGGGCTGTGGGGTTTCTCTTCTAATTCTCTAATGCTGGACTCCACATCCTGAATTTTCTGTTACCAATGGGGTGAGAGGGTGCAGCATTAAAAATCTTAATGTATTTATTGAAAGTGCAAAGTTTGCTGTAGTTAGCAGTACCACAATCCATGCAAAGAGTGGATTTATGTGGCATTCCTGGACTTGGTGGGGACAGCTTGTTTTTCCTGCGTTTGCCGTGTGAAGGGAAGTGTGAAAACCCAGGCGGCCAGCTGTACGCTGGACTTATTTATGAACTTTGAATATTTTAGTATAAACTTCAGTGCTGCTGCGGATTTAGGAGATACCAGTCGTGCAGCAGAAGAGGGAACAGGAGAAAAGCCAAAATGCAGTGTTTGGTCCCCAAGAGCTGTCCCCAAGCCGGGATGTGCCTTCCTGGGAGGCATGGTGATGGGTCAGAGTGGTGAATGCATTTATTTTTTTACACTGGGATATAGGCACTGAAATGGATGGAAACAAAACAGCCATTGGTTTGCTTTCCCCATTAGGATGTTGTCTTACTGCTGTCACTTTGTGTGGGCGAGGATGCACGTGGAGCTGGGGACAAAACTGCTCCATCAATTAGCAAATCATGCTGGCGGAGTCCCTTAATTAGCGACTTCACGAGATCTCCCTTGGAGTTGATGCTGTACAGCTGCTCTGCCCCTGGCTGGCACTCACTGAGACGTTCGTAAATCACATCTGGTGTCTCTGAAGTGGAAAAAAAACTTTTCACTGCGATATATTTTCCTCTTGTACCCCTGCTCTTGTGTTTTTTCCACCTAGCTCACTGTGCCTCTCCATTTCCATTTAAATTAAATCTTTTCTTGCCCCGTGGCTCTGATCATGAACCTGCAGGAGTTGGCATTTACAAGTAGGAAACCTTTTATTTGCAAGAGCTGAAGGCACCGATCTGCTTGGCACGATGGCCACGCAGCCAAGACCAAGCACAGCAGGAGATCTTCAAGGACACGCTCATCACTGAGGCTCTGGCCACGTGTTTAATATAAACATTCTTTGGTCCCAGACACCAGATTTTGTTTCATTAAAGGTTGCAAAGTTTAGTTCCTGGGATGGGGAAGGATTGAGCATCGTTTGCTCGGCATAGGCTGCACCAGCCCAGGGACAGGCAGAAAGAGAGCTGGTCCTGTATGTAGGTAACAGCCAGGTAGTCCTCAGAAAGTACTAGAAATACTGATTTTTTTCTTTTTTCTTTTTTTTTTTTTCCAGAAAAAAATAGCTTCATTAATTTCATTTATTTTATTTGCTTTAAGACTGTTCTGACAGGTCCTCTAGCACCTATTACCTGAGCAATTATTTTTCCACTCATCCATCATTACAGCAGCTTATTCATTAAGCACAGCGAGCTTTGCCACTTTTTCCCTTAGTTTAATCTTTATAGACATGTGTCAAAGACTTTTTTTTCCCCCTCTCTCTTCCAACTGTGCCTTGAAAATAGAAATATAAATAACATAATTCCCTGTGGTAGCTGAAAAACGTCCTTTTTTAAGAGCAAGCCCTGCCTGTCCCAGGGCATTGTGTGCTTCAGCCCCAACCACCCTGGGGGCTCTGCTGGCTCTCTGCTGCTTGCCTGTGGTTTGTGTTATTAAAACTGTGTTTGGTTTTCTGTGGGGTTTTTGTTTTTTTTTTTTTTTTTTTTTGATTGTGACCAGGAAGTGAATTTTGAGCTTGGTTTGGAGTTGCCCTGGGGCTCGTGGAGGGGTGGGAGGATATTTTGGCAAGAGGAGGTTTTGAAGCCCCGGTGAAGAGGGGGATCACTGAGACCAACATGAAATTCTCTTTAAGGGACATGTTGGAATTGGAGCTGAAAACACCATTTCTCCCTCTGCCTTCCACAAGTCGCTTGCTCACATTTATCTAATTATTGTGCTATCAGAGATGCAATAACAGAGGCTATAATTATGAATCTAATACCTTTTTCCCTGCTCTATTGAATTACGTTAAAAATACTGTGTTGAGTCTTTTAAGACAGCAGCTACTTGTTTCTCCATCACCTTTGCAGTGAATATATTTGGACTTACTATTTCATAATATATTTCCCCGAGAGAGGCTATTCCGTTTCTCGTCTCAGCACTACTGCCTGATGGGCAGGAAGCTACAGTCGTCCCGAATATCTCATTCGTGCGTAGCAAAAAGACTTTTTGAATCCCTTGAGTTGTGGCTAGGAAAGTTAGACGTTTTGGGGAATGAAGAATAAAGTGTCGATCTGGGATAAGAGGAATGCAAAGAGACGGTTGAGTAACTGGTGTTCCCTGTCATGCAGACACCGTTGCACAGAAAAGTAGATTTTCTTGCGACGAAGCGATGCTTAATGCTGATTTATTCATTGCTTTGCAGGTTTGAAACTTTTGAAGTGAATAGCTTTGAACAGTTTTGCATCAACTACGCCAACGAAAAGCTCCAGCAGCAGTTCAACTCGGTAAGGTCAGCTTGGAAACGTTCCATAAAATTTAGGAGAAAATGTATCAAGGTGGGATTATTGTGTGTCTGACTTCTGCTTAATGACATTTGCCTGCAGCCTGGCCCGATCGCATGGCCAGCATGAATGTTGTCCTTGGGATACCACCTCTCCTGGGTGATGATTGTGCGTTGCAACTGCACTAAATATTCATATTGAGTTCAAAATGTTGCTTGGTTGATTGATAAGCTTGATACTGGAAGCAGGTTTGCAAATAGCTTTTGCAAAGCCTCACTGATGGCTTTGAATAAGTAGAAAGTTTGCCCATTTTTTTTCTTTTTTTGCGTAGTTTCAGTCCTAACCCAAAACCTGGACGATCTTGTGCAGAGTCCTGGTTTCCAGTGTGTGACAAAGCATGGGTGGAAACCTGCCCATTAGGTGTGGCTTAAACCTCTGCAACAAAAACTCTGCATTAAATATCAGGATTAGGCACATCTCCCCATTTTCACTTGGACATGCCTCACAAAACCCTGAGATTCTTCTGTTTTATTAGATGCAAGCACTTACCTGCAGTGGAAATGAAACCAGTAAGGGGCCATCTGCTTTTGTTGTCAGCAGGGAAAAACATCACTATTAGTTTCAGGATACGAGGGAAAACTTGTTAAATTTAAGCAGCTGAGTACTGCGGAGTAGTTTGGCACTTTGTATCGTATGCGTGGACATGAACATTTGCAGTATATCTAATGCATCAGGTCACTGCTGCTAAAAATGAAAAGTAAATTATGGATCGTATTTGCACTGTTCATATCTTCGTGTGTCCAGCTATCACTTCTGAAGCTTATAAATTCAAACTCTGAGATGACATGTTTGAAGAGATTTGAAAAAGCTATCTTTGAAGAAAAAAGTGCATTTGAAAGATCATTTTTTAATATGCTTAGAGTATCTCAGAAATAGCCAGAGACAATTTATCTGCCTGGGCAGAGGTCTGAGATATATAAGCCATGCAAAGACTTTTTTTTTTTAATATGAATCTACAATAGAAATGTTCCTGAGTCAGTCAGATACTTCTGCTGATATTTCTTCTAGGATGCTGGGTGTTCTTTGGGAAGCTCTGCACAAAGATAGGGGCACACACACTCAGCCCTGGCTGGGCTCCCAGCTTGTGAACGTGCTGCAGGTCACTGGTTTAATCAGCAGAGCGCTAAAGGAGAGAGGACTTTTTCTCAGCCCAAGAGATGTCTATGTCATTGCCATTTCAATATATGGCTCCCACCTAGATGTAGCGACGGCTTCAGGAATTTTCTAGTGAAGGTCATTTAAAGCCATTTTTCCCCCTTGTCCTATGGTTTCTTAGTGTAATGCTTTTATTTTCCTTGTCAGAAGCTAGATTGTGGAAATGGCAGAGCCTGTACGAAGCTATATGTGAAGGCTCCTAAAAGCTTCTCTGGCTTCTGGATGTGCCGAGGGCATAATTCTCCACGGGGAAGGGGCTGACGCTGTGCTGGCTGGGGGTCGTGGGCAGTAACTCAGCTCTTTTTCCAATCTCAGCACGTGTTTAAACTGGAACAAGAAGAGTACATGAAGGAGGGCATCCCCTGGACTCTCATCGACTTCTACGATAACCAGCCTTGCATAGACCTTATTGAGGCAAAACTTGGTATCTTGGACCTACTGGATGAAGAGTGCAAGGTAAAGAGGACCCACGCACCTTTTTGCTGGAATTTTTGTTTTTGTAAAAGATTAAAGAATGGGATTTAACCTCGTGGTAGCTTGCAGGAGGGTAGACATCTCCTTTCATGTGCGTTGCTGGGGTGCTCATGGCTCAGGTAAGCTGCTGGCATTGCTTTGCTCTAGAAACATTCTGAGCTTCCCTGGAAGATGTTTGCTACCAACTTGGGTGCCTGCTCTCACCACGTATTGCCAGAGCTCACGTTTTTGACCTGGCTGCACACAGGGAAGGTCATTGCTTGCAACTTTTGATTCCTTCACTGTTATCCAGGAGCTGGAGTTCCTCCCTGTCTCAAGCTTAATGTCCCAATGGAAACCTGAATCCTCTTACGACAGATATTTGGGGTAAAGTCGACTGCATTTAGTGTACAGACTTCAGGAATTTGTGCTTCAGTGGCACTTGACATATAAAAAAAAAAGTCTGGGAGGGTCTTGTGTTTGGTTAACCTTGCAGTGTCAAGGGACATCAACCACATAATGAGGATGTGCTACAGTTGATGCCAAGCCCTGTCTGACTTCAGGCAAGCCTGGATTTCACACAGGCTTTGCAGAAGACCAAAACTGCCCTTCTGCTCCTTTAAGATAGAGAAGCAGGAGCCAGGGATGACCTGCAGAAGTGTCTTCAGTTGCGTAGGCTTCTTGTTTAGCCATTCCTTCAGCATCCTTCTGTTACAGTCTGGAATTGTGTCTTCCCTCAGCTTTTCTGAGTTTTGGGTTTTGTGGATGGTTTGGTTTCTTTAAACCAAGCTTGTCATGTTGGGAGAGTAGTTTGCTATCTTTCACCATACCAGCCTAAATTAAATTTTGCTTAAAAGTAGAGAAGAAATGTGAGAACCAAAAACCTTCATGGGAATCCATAAGAAAGGTTGGACTCCTTGTTCAGTCATAAATTGCCAGGATGAGAGGTAGAACAAGAAACGAAAGTTAAGTGATTCTTTTGGGAAGTTGGAATGTCTTTTTCAAGGTTTTTTGGAATGAAAAGTAGGTGGGAGTCCCAGAGTTTTTAGGTACAGTCATCTCAACAGGAGAGCTCAGAGTGATGCCGTGATGAAAAGGGCTCCTGCACTGGGCAGAGCTTCCTCTCCGAAGCACCTGGCACTGGTTGCTGCTGGTGATGTTGCATGAGATGGAGCAATTCCTATGCAAAAGCAGGAATATGGCCCACTTTTCTGTAGGTCTCCCTGGTTCTACTTTTTTCATCCGTGGTTTTTTGGACCAAAAAAAATGAAACACAAGATTGATTCCCCCCCACATCAAATGCCAAATATCTGGTTATTTACCTGTCACTGGGGAATGCTGTCATTAGTCACAGGCTCATATTATAGGCCCTCTAATCGGCTCTTTTATAATAACCTGCGAGCGTTCTCCAGCTTTATGAAAATTTCAGCAAAGCCTGTCAACTGAAAGCACTGGTTTATGGATGAAAACCTTCACCCCCGCATCACCAGCAGCAGTGTTTCACCTCTTGGGGAGAAGTCGGCCGTGGCAGGCGCAGGACCACAATAGGGTAATTGCAAGTCATCTCGTTAACACGTACAACCGTGGATAAATATACTCCAGGACTTGAAATGGCATTGAGGGGGTCCTGGCAGCATAATGAAACATGAGCGCAAATGCGGAGGGTTTGTTGCTAACGTTCTTGCTTCACAGTATGGAATTTTTTTTAATGTAATCTTTAATGTGAGGCTGGGGAGGAGGTGGTTGGGTACATGCTGAAGCAGATCAGCTAACGAAGGTCATAGACCTTTGGTGCATAATGAAAGTCTTGTTTAGGAGAAGAAGGGGACCAGAGAGGGTTGGAATGGGAATTGGCAATGAAAGAGAGGGCTCTTGAGTTGAGTTTGGAATTTCAAGGACTAAATGTGTCTCATGAAAGCAAATGATAAAAGCCCTAGTTCTGAAAAGAGAGCTTTAGGTTATGTTTGGGTTTGGGGGGTTTTTGAACAGCTTTGGGGTTTTAGGAGTTAGAAGCTCTTGCAGAATTATTAAGGTTGGAGGGGGCTTCTGGAGGTCATTTTGTCCAACCTCTGGTTATGTCCCTGGTCTGCCCAGGACGCCAGGGGAGAAGAGCATCCAGGAGAACCTTCCTGGGGAGGGAGTCACCATAAGGCCACCAGTGGTGGTGGGAAATAATCTGGAATACGAGCAGAGCCCTTGAGGAGAGCAAGGAGACCTACGTAGAGCCCATCAGGAGACCCAGGCATCAAGGAGGGAGGCTGTCTTCTGAAAATCCACTCATGGGAAGTTGGGAGGGCGTGTGGAAGGCTTGCTTGGACGTCTAGGGTGGATTTAAGGTATGGTTGGACTCATTGTAGAGGGAATGACTTTGGCAGAGGGGACAGCAAACTTCCCAGGAAGACTTTGAAGGAACACATGAAGAGTAACTTCAGTGCTCTGGAGAGGAGGAGCAAGTTGAGGTTGATTTTTTTCAAGGGACTTAAATTATCCTCAGAGTGAAAATTCTCTAAGAAAGGCAGTCATGGCTCTTTATCGAAGCTGGATGAGGTGTCCTGATTTTCGGGTTGAACCTGCTTGCTCTGTGCGAGTTCTGCATATCTTCTGTATGCTTCCCACCTGTCGTTCCGGAGTACGGGCAAAGTTTACTGTGGATGTCGAGGTTTCTCTGTAAGGTGTCCTGCTGCCTGGCTGCTTTCTTGCTTTTGCCTGTGCTGTTGTGATGGGAGTAGGAATGGGAAAATTAATTTTAAAAAAAAATCTGTTAGGATGAAGTAGATCTAAAAGGGTTTGATCAAGAATGGGCAGGTTGGAAGGGTTGATGTGTCAATCAAGGCATCGTTGCCCAAGTTTTATTATGGATCCTAGTGAAATTCTTTCTGCTGAGGAGCAATGTGACCCTGAGGCTGCCAAAAGGGAATGTCTCTTACCAAACCCACGAGCTCCCTCATGTCCTCAAACTCTCCCGTGGCTCCGTTTTGTGTTTTATGGCACGTTGCCATCGTGTTACGCTGATAATGTGCCAAATGCATTTTCTAACACTGTTCAAAAGATGCTCCTTAACCTTTCCCGTGTCCTTCTGTCAAGTGCCACAAACACTCAAGTCATCTTCTCGCAGACCAGTTTTCAGTCCCGCTTGTCTCTGTGCATCGCCGTGAACTCAGATACCTGAGCAAATGTGTTTTTCTTCTCTGGACTTGTTATTTTTTTGAACATCAGAAAGCAATGCCTCGCCTTCCTATGCTGCGTGGTCCTGTCCAGGAGGATTTCTGCTCCACGAGCAGATATGCGGAGGTTGGACCTCTGGGCTTTCCTTTCGGGTGGACCGCCTAATCTGACGGCAGAATAACCTCGCCTACGTCATGCTGTCAGCTTTTGTGACTTTAAAGTCAGGCACGTCACTTGCAGTGGAACATGTCTGCAGAGCACGGAGGAAGCCCAGGCTCTTTTCAGGCTTTAACATGTTTTGGAGTGGTAAAGAGAAAAGAAGGAAAATGTAAACAGCTCCTATAAAAGTGGTGGACTCAGGCCTAGGGGCTGACCCTGGCTGCGCTGGGTAGGTTTGATTTTTGGTTGCAGTAGTTCCTGGAAGCTTGAAGGACAGTGTATGGAGGCAGGAGGTGAACCTGGCTGGGATCACACTGATTTTTTGCAGAGGGACAGCGAGGACAGAAGAGCAGAAGCACTGACATTGTGAAATTACTCATCTAAGTTTTTTCCTGTTTAAGAGATTTTTGTACAATACTTGCAAGTTGCTTTTCTGTGATTCTGTGGTTCCTTTTCCCCATCCCCTAAAAGTCTTGCACTGATGAGATAGTCTCTAAAGAACTTTCTTCGTGGCTTTAAAGGCTTTAAGCTGCCAAGCCAACACCAAAAGCTGCTATAATAGTACAGATAATGGCCCTGTTAGTTTTTATCTCCAGGACTCGGTCCCTATCAGGTGTTTCTCAGGCAGCTAAAAATACCCAGACTGCACAACAGTGTGCAGGGAGCGGTGGGAGTATGGCAAAACCCTCTTTCTGGGAGGCAGGAGCGATGCCTTTGAAGTTCAGCTCAGAGATAAGCAGGTTTTTCAGCAAAGGGAATGGCCTAGAAGAGAGCTGTTGCGGGATAAATCTGCTCTCTGCAGCATCAGGCGGCTCAGGTGGCTGCGGTGCTTCTGCTCTGCGCCCACGGCTCGGTCCCCAACAGCAGAGAACTAACGATGGCTCCAGAGAAGGTGTTCTCATCAGTTATATTTCATATTTATATGTAAGAAAGAAACCCATCTGCATTTGTATAACTCTGTAGTTTAAATATGCATGTCTGTCTTGCATAAATAAAATATGTACATAATTGCATACATGAATGTCTTTTAATATTTATTGGATAATCTATATTATTTCTGTCTGTATCCATAACTGGCTACACTTACAAATGTAAACCTTAAAATACTTCTGGGATTGCACACATGGCTGCTGCATTTAATTCAGCCACTTCTTCCACTTAATGGAGGTGGGCAGGAGATGCCCGTCCCCGTGTCCGGAACCCTTCTGACGTGTTTTGGCTTGCTGCTGTGAAATCAAAGGCCATTTCAGAACAGCGTCAAGAAATATTCCGCATCTGTCTCTCAAGTTTTCCTTCTTACTGTTTGCTTGCCCCTGTTTCCTCTGTCACTTTGCTTTGCATCATCTAATTTTAAATATCACCTAACACTTTTCTTCTGCTTCTTCTTCTTTTCTAACCGAAATAAGCCATTTTTTTGTTCAAAATTATATGTGTGCATCACTGTTGCTGTCCTGTTGCAGGAGGCGGTGATAGAGGGTCCACCAGCCTGTGCCGGGTGGGCAGGAGGGATGGGGATGAGGATTTGTGGTACTCAGCCCTCAAGTGTAACAACCTCACTCCTTGTTTCCTTCAGTTTTCAGGAATTTGGCTTTATGTCAAAACTTGTTGCACTGGAAAAATATAAAATAATAAATTTTTACAGCCATCCTGCTTTCCTCAAATGCCCTCATGTTTTTTTGGAAAGCTTTGAGTTCCTTCAAAACCCCTGCACCTCCTTTCATGCCTGACCGTGACTTTTGGGTCCATTTTCTCCCTGTCCAGGTTCCCAAAGGCACCGACCAGAACTGGACGCAGAAGCTGTACGACCGGCACGGCAGCAGCCAGCACTTCCAGAAGCCTCGCATCTCCAACACCTCCTTCATCATCGTGCACTTCGCCGACAAGGTACCCAGGCACCCGTTGCAGAAATGGAGAAATAGGAAATGCATAGAGGGGAATAAAAACTGCTGCATGAAGGAAAAAAGAGTTTCATAGCACCGTGGAGCTGCTTTTTGGCAATAGGGATGCCTGGTTGGCAGTAATCTCGGTTGGGTGCTGAGATCTAGATGAGCTTGGAGGACTTCACCCTCTAAACTGTTGCGCTAAGCTTGAAATAGTTGTGTTTTTTAGAGGAGAGAAAAATCCTCTTTCTCAAAGCTGCGGCGAAATGAATTTCTGTAAGGGCAGCTTGACTGAAAATATATTGGAAAAGGAAATTAATTTTTGAAGAGCATCAGCAAGGCACAGTGGGGAGAAGCTCATGAGAGGTGACCCTGGGCCGATCCCACCCTTCTGAGAGAGAAGATGTCAACTGGGGATCTTGAAATCCCAGTGGCTGGTGCTGTAGAATCTCATCTGTGGGCTCCAGCTTGTCTGAAACCCTGGTGTGACAGGCGTCACTCACAGCAAATTAAATCTTAAAAGCGTGCAGTTATCCAAGACACTTGTTTGTTAGAAAGAAAAACATAATGTCAACCTGGGGACCTGTCCTCTCATAATTCTTCCTCTGCTCCCCAACCCTCTGCAGTCTCAAAACCACGAGATGTAGTCAGGAGATCTTGCTGAGGTTTATTGGTTAGCTTGCGAGGAGTTCAGGAGTGAAC